GTCCCTGGAGGTGGATCTGAACAAGAGCCTTGGCCTGCTGGCTACTTATGGGCAGGTCTGCCCTGGGTGGATATAGCTCTGGAGGGGGCCCGCATTTGGTGGGGACCCCAACATGGCTTGGGTCGTGTCCCTGGGAGGCTCTCCAGCTCCGTCTCCTGCTCAGAGAAGGCCTGGTCTGTCCAACCATGGCCACTTCTCAACTCTGGCAGCCAGGTGCCCGCGGCCCACTGCTCTGAGGCCGAACCTCATGTTCCTCTGCCCACGACCACAGAGGGGTAGCCGCCAATGCTTGCTGGCAATCATTCATCTGTTCCAAGGGAGAGAGACCAAAATAGATCTCCTCTTGGTCCTGCTCACAAATGGGGCCTGCTGGGAGGCTCCTTAAATGGAAGTGGGTGGGGCAGCCACCTGGTCTGACTCTGGGACACTGGCTGGGATGGGGAATCAATTCTCTGAGGGATGAAAGGCAGGCCCAGGTTCTAGGAAAATGCGCACTTCCATGTGCTAAAAGCATCTTTGTGGGACATGTTCAGAAAGGGAGAGAGAGAGACCGTAAGAGAGACAGGCAGCTCCTGCAGCGACAGAGGCCAAGTGAGCGGCCACGTCAGCGCCAAGCCCCGGCACGCAAAGGGTGAAGCTTTTAGGCGAGCAGCGGCCAGTGATCTCAGCTTCCCCCAGTCCTAATGCTCCTGAAAGGCTCTCTCCCACTCTCTGTAATTGGGCATCAGTAGTTAATGCAGTATTGACTGCATTACACGCTCCCGTGCCTCCCCTCACTAATGCCAATTGCATCACCTTGTACAGTCACCGGCTTGCTTAGCCAATAGCCGTTAAAAGCAATCCAAATCATGAATCATATGGGAAACTTTTAGCAAGACACTGCCATCCAAGGAGACAATTTACAGTTGAGTTAATCTGGGTACATTAGCGAGACATGGATTCTGGACGACAGACCAATTTATGTTGTTTCCCTGTCCCCCACCCCCCCCCCCTTAGTGCTCCATGTGGGCAAATGAACGGAAGAGCAGGGAACAGAGAAATGCACCTGCTTCTTTACCCAAGGCTCTGGGAGGGGGTGAGGGAGACCCATCTTTACAGGCTCTCTGCCTGGCTGAATTGGGGCAGGAAGGGTAAGCAGCTGTACATGCTGCTCAAGATCTGTGAAGCCTTGTTTTCAGCAGCGAGGAGGTAGCTGCGGCCGGAGCTGGCATGGGAGCTACAGATGGAGACCCTTCTCTTCTAGGCACCAGGCAAGTGTCAGGCCTGGGCCCCATGCTACTGGCCTCACAAGGCCTTTACCAGTCCTCAGTAGGCACCAGTATCTCCTGGACTCTGACTTCCTGCTGACCCACTAGGGTCTCTGGCATGGAACAGCACCAGGGCCCACTCCCTGCCTCCATCTCTGGGGCCAGGAAGGTCCTGGCCACACTCTGCTAGGAGAGACCCCCAAGGACTCTTCTCAGTCCAGAGCATGATGGGCTATCCCAGGAGGCCTTGCCAATGGCTGAGCAAAAGCTGGTCAGTACCCAAGAATAGCCAAGAGACTGCCCTGGTGGATCAACCAGGTCCACTGTGGAGGTCACACTCATAGTGGTCATTAACAATTGAAGACTCGCTGTCTGGCCCTCCTCAGTCCAGCTCCACTGTCCTTAGGCAATTTCACTTATTAAAAATGCTCTAAGGATCATGTCTGGTGTTTAGTTCTCCAATTCGCCTGCTGTGCCCTGTGGTCACTCCAGTCTTCTGGCTGGGCCTTTGCAGAGGCAGCTTACCTGCCCTTCTCTAGCATGTACTTGGTCCAACACCCCTGAGAGGGTGCCCTCTGCATCCTCTCCTGCCCAGTCCCCCACAATCCAAGGCTCTCACTGCTCCTGGGGCTGCTGGACCCTCTGCTGCCTGCCTCTACTCAAGGGTCTCTTCTCCAATGGCCTGAGGGCTAATCTGGCTCTCTGTGCTCAGAGCTCCCTTTGCTCTCCTAGATTGCAAGCCTCTCCGGAAGGCCCGCAGCCTAGTGCCAGCTCAGGCACAGGTGCCAGGGAAAGAAGGGCTGTTTCTCCGGGAAAGTTGGAGCAGGGCTTCCTTTGCTGACAGGCAGGCCCGACGGCATTTAGAAAGCCTGGACCCTGAGTTCCAGTAAAGTGGAGATGGCTAGGCCAAGAGCAAGCGTCCAAATGAAAGCAATTAATCTTAAAACCAGAAGTTTAACCATTTGCAAAACAGATCTTTCCTCTCTGTGGTGGCCCTTCACTGCTCGACCTAATGGATTACTTTATTAATAATGCACTGTGCTTAAAAGCAAAAAAAAAAAAAAAAAAAAAAAAATTTTTTTTCTGACGATTCAATACTTCAGAAAGTCTCTTAAACCCGTTGCTACGGCAAAGCGATTGATATTTTATTATCTTTCAGAAGTGCAACATGAAAGCCCCGCAGCCCAGCAGAGCAAGAGCTTTGGTCCTCGGTAGCTGGCAGACCTGACTTCAACCAGAGGAGCCCCAGCCCCTTCCAACAAGATGCTGTCAGGTGGAGAAAAGGCATTGGGGGTGGTTAATAAGGGCCCGAGTCCCTGCTGCAGCCAGACAAAGGGTGCAGTGCTGCATCCCTGAGGGACATGCTTCTTGGGGGCCCTGGGGGCCAATGCTGCCACCCAGCTCACAGGGCCACCTGCTGAAAGGGGTAAGTGCCAGGAAGAAATTAGGCAGCAGGCACAGAGGGGCAGGTGAGCGGATCTAGAGTCTTTCTCCCTTCCCCTACTGACGGTGCCACCCGCAGGGGTTCTTGGAATTGGAGGAGGCCAGACTCTAATATGAAGTGGAGGGGAGATTTACGAGCAGGAAGATTGCTTTTGGAGGACACCTCTGGGCTGGGCAGGACAAGAATCAAATGGCTCCTCAGGGCCCCAGCTGTCTACTTTCCTTGTGCTGTTATGGGCCCCCAGAGCTCAGTGGTATGAACTGTAGTGGGCACCACACTGCTTAGACTGGACAGAGAAGGGGACCAAGGGGCATCCTGAGCTCCCCTCTGCAGATCTGGTGGAGACTAGGGGAAACACATATGCCCAAGGTGGTTGAGGTGCACTGCAGTCTGGAGGCAGGAGACTGGCTAAAATGACCTCCAGATATCTATTCCCATTCAGGGCTCATCTGAAAATCTTGAGTATCACAGAGCTCAAAGGCAATCTGGGATGCCTGCACAGGGCACTACCTAGGTGGCAGTGGTGGAGGTCATCTTGTCCCACGAGAACAATCTCCCTAAGGCCTCCCAAGGATAGGGCCTGGGTGTTTTCGATTTCTGGCTTGGGCCTGAGGAGCCAAGCATGCCAAGAAACCATGGCTGAAGACATACCTTGATTTCCACATGCTTTCCATCATGAGAGTACCTCCAGACACCAAGGAATGATCCTCTGCACTATCTTCTGCAAGCCCCTCATTTTACCAAGAGGGAAAGTGAAGGCTAGATATGGGCACGACAAAAAGCCTCCTCCCTCCTGGCCTGCCCTGACCGGGTCCCTTCTCCGCTTCGTTACACAGACCTGTAGAAGCCTAGTCCTATGACGGCCCACATGGGGATCCTGGAGAGAAGTAGAGCATACTAGAGATGGAGGTTACATCCATCCCAGCCAGACCCTGGCAAATACATTCTTTTGGCCAGAAACACTTAGTTCCCCCTTGCCTCTCTTACTACATACATGCTGAGAAATAGCCTTCGTGGGCTTACTGGCCACAAGGCTCCTCCACACGCGACTCCCAGACCAGACCCTTTAAATGCCCCTCCCTGATGAAGGTCTTAGAGGCGGTGGGGAGGCTAGGAGCATCAGCATGTGGTAGCAGCAAAGGGCACACCCTGTGTGAGTGTGACCTTGAGCAAGTCACTGAACTTGGAATTTTTACTAAGTGACCATGTCAACACCACCACTGACCTGGTGGGCAGAGGGCCCAGGCCAGTAAAGACTCACTAGCAGAAGGTCAGAGAATGGCCACCATGGTCAATCAAAGAGGATTCCTGCTGACACATAGCAAAGCCACCTTCTCAGTTCCTTACCATAAGTCAGGTGACAGCAGGGGTGCCAACAATTACATACTAATCTCCCTACAACACCAACACACCAGGCAACCCTCACCTATAGGGCAGGGGGGCCTGGGCCAGCCGGGGAACTGCTACTCTTTGGACACTGGGTACTCCGTTTGGGTCACAGGGCACCCGCTTGGTTTTACCCTCAAGCGCAACGGGTTCTCCAACCTCTCCTAAACATACCAGGACACACACTGCAGGGCACTACCAGTCAGGAAGGCTTTGGGGTATGTGGGACCACCTTCTAGAGGCTTCCAGCAACCCTGGCCCCCTCTGTTCTGACCTCTAGGGCGCACTGGGACTCTCGACCACAGGTCATGGCACTGTTGCGGGCCGCTCCTGCAAGAGTGCTACTGGCCGGTGGCGGGACACTTGCTTCCTCTGGGCCAAACTCCCGCCTCCGCGCCCGGGGATGGGGAGACAGTGGGCCACTACTTGAGACGTCTGTCTCCCCGAGGGTCCAGCCGGCCTTCCCTTCGCCCGCCGGGCACCCAGGGGCAAGCAGGGTCTTCCCGCGCGCCGGCTGGCCGCAAGCTCTGGCGTCCGATTCTCCCGAAGCCCCTGATTTGCCCGCCGCTTCTCCCCTCTCGGGTTATGCGGCCGGCGCGAGGGAGATGGCTGCGGTGAGAGGAGCGGCCGCAAAGACGAAACGCCGCGCGCGGAGCGCCACTGCGCCGAGATCCGAGGGGACCCGAGCCTGCACGCGGCCCCGCAGAGCAGCACGCGGCCGGCGCACAGCCCGCCCGCCCCGGGCTCACTCACCCCTCCCCCGGCCCCACCTGGCCGCCCCCGCCCCTCTCCCCCCGCGCGCCGCCCGCCCGGGAAGCCCTGCACCGCCCGGCGTGTGTGAGCCAGCGTCCCGGCGTGTGCTCCCGCGCGCCGCGGCGGGGGGCCAAGGGGTGCGGGGCGTCGGCCCCCCGCCCGCCACCTACCGTCCTCCTTGTCCAGCACCATCATCTCGGGCGCTCCGTGTCCAGCCGCAGCTCGGCTCGGCCGGGAGAAGGGCGCCGACTCCGGGCGCGCTTCGGCGGGGCGGCCGGTCCTCGGGCAGCGAGCGGGCTCTAATTACCCGCTTGTCCGGCTCTTAACCTAGATTGCACTCAGCTAGAATTACATTCAGGAGTGAAGCACTTCGCAGATACAAAAGCAGTCTCACCTACTTTTGTGCCTCAGAATTGCAAGGAACTACGAACTGCAATTTAAAGAGGGGGGGAGAGGGAGAGAGAACAGGGAAGAGAGGATCAGAGCCGTTTCTTTGATTCTCACCTTCTAAATGGCTCAATTTGCCCAGTATAATCTGTCTTAATGTAATTGCATTTGATAGCTCATAACCCTGGCTCTGGCAACGACACAGCTTTCAGCCTCATAAAGTGTTTTCCCCTCGGATTTAATCTGAATCTCAATCTAAAATTATATTCAAAGAGATGGGGGAATCTCGGCGGCCGTCTCCCGCTGCCTTTCTCCCTCAATGTATGAGGTTTGCACTCCTGCTACTGAATAAATGCACACATTTCCCGAGGCCCCCCTCCCTCCTGGGTTAATGGGGAGTGGAGACGCGCGGGTGCCCGGCTCCGCAGCGCCACCTGGAGGTAGCTCGGCCCCAGCTCGGCGCGTGGCTCCGCGCAGCACCCAGGGTCCTCATCCCAGACCCTTGGTCAGGTGTACCACTCTTGTCTGTCACTCACACCCCCTCAGCCTTGGTTTCTGCCCCGGGGCAGATCTTTCTCTGACCTCGTGCCCTCGCTTCCTACCTGCTCTGCCAGAGGCTTCTGGTTGCTTCCTGGATTTTTGGCGAAGTTAACCCTCTGCAGGGTACAAATTCTCCCACTTTGAGTCTTAGGGCACCCCCCTGACCCCAGCACCCCCCTCCCCTACCAGCAAGAGCATCCTAATTCCATAGGAAGTGGTATCCTGTCTCGGCTTCTCTCTGAACAAGCGCAGCACGGCCTTGAAGGCTTTTCTCATTGCACAACTATTTATTGAGCATGTATTATTATAAGACACTGGTGATACAGCAGTGAACAAAAGATTCCTGCTATTTAGGAATTGAAAATTCTTCCTCTGTAATTCACGAGGCAGGAGGGAATACAGTGCCTATCTCCTCTCTCCGGAACCCTTCTTCTCTGCTAGTGTCCAGACTGCCTACTCTAGGAAGGCCACTCTTAAATACCAAGAGGGTTTTTTTTTTTTGTTTTTTTGTTTTTTTTTGTCTCGACAGTACCAAATTCCAGGAGGGGATGGAAATCTTAACGGACTTTTTTTCTAACCCAAAGATGGCTTCGGATAGATGTGTCAGAGGCTCATCCCTGGCAGACACTTCTGAGGACTAGACCCAGGCAAGGAGAAGGAAGCCGAAGTCCCTGGAGGATCAAAGGACTGCCAGTTGGGATTTCATCCCATCTCTGCCTATTGCAAATGGTGGATCTTAGAAAATCACTTTATCTGGGCCTCAGTTTCCCTGTTTGTGTAGTGGGAGACATGTTCTGCTATCCCACGTTGCTGTGGGGATGAGTTAATGCATGTGAATGTGCTTTGTAAACTGTGGCGCCCCAACAGTGGGGGGACTCATTGGGTATAAATGAGACCTGGAGGCCAGGCTGTGCCCCTTAAGCCTTGGCAGACCGCAATGCAAGGTGCTTGACCGGGGTGGGGAATGCGGGAGCAGTACAGAAGCCCATCTTCCTCCATCCTAGTCAGGGAAGTCAGGCTTTGAGAAAACAGAAGAGGCTGCTTCTAACGAGATGCCTCATCCACAGCTCCGAGGGTTTCACTTTCCCCTTCATCTTGAATACTTAATCCTAATAGTCCTTGAGTATATTTGATGTTAAATATATCATTTTGCTCAGCCTCACTGTCCCTCAGGACTGTGAGCTTGATCTCTCCCCTGCCACCGCAGCCAGGGCTATATCCCGAGGGTCTGAGGGAGGCTTTGGCACTGCTGCCACTGGCCCATTTAGTAACAACCCCTCACCCCAGCCTGAGCTGGGGGCCAGACAGTGTCACAAGCAATGGGCCTGACAGGGCAGCAAGGGCTAGGTTCTTGCTGTAGATGCCTCTGTGCTACCTGGAGGCATTCGCTCCACCAACGCCGTGGCTTTACTCTCCAGTTCCAGGGCCCGCTTCTCCTCACTCTCAGGGTCTGGCCCTGACCCACAAACCAGGACTTGACTAGCTGGAGGCACTTTCCCACTTTTGTTCATGTGGTGTGCTGGCGACTCTGTCCCAACACAGCTCCCCCAAGACTCCAACGTGCCCAATTAGCAGCCACCCAACCAGCATCCCTCTGGGGAGTCAGGGGCCCTGTGCCCCAACTCAGGGACTGGAGCAGGCCTGGGGTGCTGAGCTAAAGAAGCAGGTAGGATAGATCAGCAAACCGGTGCTGTGTGTCAAGGGCTGCTCATGTCCATACACAGCTCTCTCTGCACGCTCTGTTGTCAGCACTGAGCTTCCACAGTGATCTGGAGAAGGGCCTCTGCAGAGACCTTCCCACTTTATAGAGCTACCCAGCAAGCCTTGGAGTAAGGTTTAGGTGACTTGAGCTTCTAGCCAGGAAGGGGCCTGCTGGGCTGACATAGTCAGACATGAGCCTCACCCTCATCCAGCAGCCAGCCACCCTCTCAGCGCATGGGGAATTGCTGGATGTGCAGGTAACTCCTGTGCCCAGGCCTCCCCCATCTAAGCCGCCTCCAGGTCCAGAGGCACACCTGCAACACCAGAGTGGAATCCTCAATCCCTTGGGGGAGGTAGTGGGAATCCAACACAGTCCACAGCTGATGAGCATGTACTCTCAAGCCAACATTGCCAAGAGTGTTCCAGGATGTCCTTGAAATGCTTCTGAGGGCAGCAGAGGGAGACCAGTTGATTAACCCCCAGGTTATGGTGAGGAGAAAGGGGTTTCTACTGGCTGCCTTTCAAAGTTTTGGGCAGGTCCTAGCAGTTTGTCACTGCACCTGGAATGAAAGTCCTAAGGAAGGGTTCGTGCACTGGGTCGGGGTGTGTGTGTGTGCGCGCACGCGCGAGAGCAGTGGAGGAGACTCTCTGCCTGAGGGCCTGGGCAGACCAGATATTCCAGAACTCAGTGGAGGCTGTCAGATGTGCCTCAGCCCAAGGGCCCTGCTTCCAACACAGTGCAGCTGTCTCCAAGGTGGGGTTACAAGCTGGCTTCACAGGTGGCGCTCAGAAAGGTATTTGGAGTGAGAAGGGCCCCTTCCCTGTGGCCGCCACAGCTGACAGGACAGAGTGACCCTACAGATTTTGGAGCACAATCAGGATGCCTATTGGCCAAGTTCAGATGCCCTGCCCTGCCCCCTAAAAAGCAGTCCAAACACAGGAATTTGCAACCAGCTAGAGTGGAGAAGTACACAGTTGACAAACTTTCCTCTTTTGGTTTCTGGAAACCCCTCTAGGAAGCTGCAGTTATAATTTGTTAGGCCTTGTGGAAGCCTAGGCCAATTTTGCACACCAGAAAGCAGGTCTCTCCCACCCTCTTAATGAAGGCCAATCCACCCCTGCACAACAGCACTGAGAAGGTTGTGGATGTAGGCTGACCAACTGTCTTGGTTTGTCCCAGGACTGAGGGGTTTCTAGGATACAGGGCTTTCAGTGCTAAAACCAGATGGTTCTGGGTAAACCAGGACAGTTGATTACCCCAGGGTTGGATGGTAGGCTGGGACAAGGGACTAGTGAGGCCAGAGAGAAAGGCCAGGCGGCCAGGCAGCCAGACCCTCCCCTGCAGACCAGCAGCTGCCTCTCAGCCTCATATTTTCCTGCCTCACGATTCAGAGCTTCATCTCCCAGGCACTAAGGAACTGCCCTAGCCCCTGGGGAATGATCCCATGGGGGCAGCGTGGCAGCGTGGCTGTGCGTGCTCCCGCCAGACTGGCAGCTACAATGGGAAAGCTGTGAGTTGGACTCAGGGGTGGATCCAGATTTTTTGAGAGCCAAGCTTACTTATGCAGTTTGGGGGCTGGGGTGCTCTTTAAGAAAAGGAATACAAGATTACTAACGCCAAATGACCACTGAAGGACTATGAAGCTTAAACTTCGTTAGCTTCAAGGTAAAGCCGCCCCTGATATTCTGGATCTGGAGCCCTACCCTAGCCAGCAGAGCACCTCCCGACACGCTTGGCTGGGGGAACCCTGCCAGGGGTGAAGCAATGTCACCCATCCCGCAGCTATGAAGTTCCAGATCTGAGCGACCCCAGGAGCATGCCGGTTTGACTGTAGGTTCTCAGGGCATCCCCCTGGGGGAGCCGTTCCGCAGTCGGGTGCGGAAGGGGGGACGTGCAGACACCCACCCAGGGAGCCTGGGAGACCTGGGGGCAGTGGGCACTGCGGGGAAGCCCGCGGCGCGGGTCGCAGAGGCGCTCCCTGTGTCTGCGAGGCGGCAGGAGCCAGAGAGAAAGTTCCGGGCCAGAGCGTGCGGGGCTGGCGAGTCCGGGGCGGCCCGGGGGACTTCCCAACCCCGCTGAGAAACCCCGGGGGCTGAGCCCGGCACCCCGGCACACTCGCCCGCGCGCACACCCAGCGCCGCGCTTCCGGGAAGCGGCCAGGCGGCCCGAGCCGGCCGAGGCCGGCGCGGGGGGACGCTGCCTCCGCGAGGCGAGCGGGGTG